AAAAAAAAAAAAAAAAAAAAAAGACAGGATGCCTCTAACAATCAGTGGCACATCTAATGTAGTGCCTTCTTTTTCTTTTTCCCACAGAAACTGTCATTACGTTGAAGGTGCACCTCATAATCCATTTTGTCTTAAAAATGAGGGGGGGAGGGGAATGCCTGAGTGGCTCAGTCGGTCAAACATCTGACTCTTGATTTCAGCTCAGCTCATGATCTCATGGTTCCTGAGATGGAGCCCTGCAGCGAGGAACCTGCTTGGGATCCTCTCTCTCCCTCATGAGTACTCGCAAGCTTGCTCTCTCTCCCTCTCTAAATAAACTTTTAAAAACGAGGGAATGCAGCGTTCAGAGAGAGGGAAATCTCCAGCCACGGACAGAAAGGCTGAATAGGAGAAAATGAATTAGGTGCGCAGTGACTATTTAATCTTTCGGTCATGGACCTTCTTGGAATCAACTCCAAAAAAAAGAATCCCTAAGGGAGGGGTGGGGGCCTACCAGACTGCATTCCAAAGCTACGGTGCTAATGATCTGGGGACTTTCTGACTCATGGCTGTGACTCCTTCCCTTTCTGTAATTAACAAAGCCTACTTTCTACCTGCAGGGAGAGTAACCGCTCCTGGCCCAACAACTCCTCACTTGCTACATATTAGAAACATTATAATCACCATTTCCAGTTGATTCCCCGTATGTCATCTCCCTTATGAGTGGGAGCTTTTGAAGAGCACAGCCTGTGTCTCTTTCCTCGGTTCAAGGACCCCCATTTCCTTGCTTAACTGCTTCCTCCTCTCCTTCCCCAGTCGTCATAACTGAGTAAACTTGGGGCACGGACAGAAAAGGGAAGTGTTAGAAAAGGAAACCGCGGGCCCCGCACCCCATCACTGACACGCACTTCTGGAGGGGACAGCGGTGGTGCTGGATGGCACAGAGTAAGCAATATTTTCATGTCATCCCCCGGCAGGTCAAGTGAAAGCCTCCAAAGATCTAAGTCAAACGGCTCTACCAACTACTATCCAGGTAACCTTGGACAAACCACCTGAATGTCCTCAATTCTAAACTGGGAAGAACGGAGCTCTCTCCTGATAGGACTGTCAGGATGAATGAACAAGACAGGGTGGAGAAAAAAACGGGCACGCGCATGGGAGGATGAAAGCACGTAATCATTCAAAGATGTCAGCTATCACTGTCATTAGCAAGTCGGTAAATGGTCTGAGCAGTCCAGAAACCAAGATTTGCCAAAGAGTCGAGTTTTAGTTTGATCGGAACAACCTAGGGGCACCCCGGTGGCTCAGTCGGTCAAGCCTCCGACTTGGGCTCAGGTCACGACCTCGGGGGTTCTTGAGTTCAGCCCCCCCCGCGGGAGGCTCTGTGCTGACAGCTCAGAGCCTGGAGCCTGCTTCGGATTCTGGGTCTCCCTCTCTCTCTGTTCCTCCCCCGCTCACACTCTGTCGCTCTCTCTCAAAAATAAATAAAGCTTTCAAAATGTTAATCCACACAATCTAGTTTACATCAAAGGCGTCCTGTCCACCCG